TTAGGAGAGACACACGTGCGCACACACCAGCACACAACATACAAACTCACAACCACACACACACACACACATGCACACACACGTGTTCACAATGTGACGTAAGCACTGCCGCAGCGTAAGAAATGAAAACTAGCTCCCCTCCATGGGTTTCCCTTCTTCCTCCTCAGTTCAGGAGGTTTGAAGACCTTCCTTTCCTTTCCTCCCATCTTGTTTGCACCCCACTTGGTGGGGGAATTCCTCGAAACTAGGGGAACCCCTCTGCACGCTTTCCTAAAGAAGCCCCACACTGCCCATCCTGGGGGTTATGTTTTCCGAAATCAACGTCTGGGAGATTTGCTAAATGCAGTGAGATTCTTACTGGTTCTCACCAGTTGCTATTTTCACAGGGAGCGAAAAGCTTGGAGTATTTGACTCTGAGTTTCTCTGATTTGGGCGTTTATAGTAGTAATCCTTGCAGTCTTTTTTGTTTTGAGGCACTGGGAACACTGTGATGCTGATGGGAAAGCCATTTGGCAGATGCAGTTCCAGTGTGAATCAAGTTGTACTTAACGTCCATGTTTGTGCATCTGTCTCACATGAAAGTTTTGGTGGAGAAAAGAGTTATTTTTAACTGATGTCTTTACAAAGGGTTTCGGGTGTCTGTCTACATCCCGGCTGAAGAGTGAGGTTTTCTGTCAATATTAAAGGTTGTTTCATCGATATGATCTCTTTCTAAGGTAAATCTCTCCTCTCTCTCTCTCTCTCTCTCTCTCTCTCTCTCTCTGTCTGTCTCGTCTCATTGTCATACAAATCATCGTAGGTAGGAGTGATTTTTTTTTTTAAGAGGTGAGAATTAGAGACAGAGATTCCATCCAGATTTGCATGAGAATGAAATCCTTACAGGAACTGCATCGTAACACATCTGTAATGACACATCTGTTCATTGAGCTAGGGTCCAAGCCTCATCCAACCCAGTGGAGTCTTGACAAGGACCTTGACTCTAGCTCCAAGGGACATTATATAGCATATATGGTCAGTTGCCCAGAGACATGTCACATGACTGGTTAGTGGTGTCTAGGGGACTTCCAGCTTCAGCCAAGGATAGTTTCAGGGGATCCAAAACCTATGCTTGGGGGAGAGGCAGGAACTTAGGTCCACCGCTTGTTTCGTTGAAGTGCAGCCTGTCACGGCACATACAAATTTCTTTCTCGCCTCACACACTCTGCCCCGCCCCCATAGAAGAGGCCCAACCTCCAGCCTTGACCTGCAACAAAATGGAAAACAAAAGCAGATGGCCCTGCTGTTGGGAGTGTCTTCTTGGCCATTTCTGGGGCGGAGTGCGGCCAGGACTCTCTCTCTCTCTCTCTCAAGGGGCCCCTTTGGACGGGGTTGAGTCATTCTTCACTCATGGCTCAAAAGAATAAAACCCAGAGCCACAAACAGGTGGCTTCCTTGGCCAAGCTCTGGTAGATGCTCCAAGTGGTTCTTGTTTTTTGTTTCTGCACCAGTTCTGCTGAGCTGAAAGCAAGCGTCAGTTCCTTTGGAGCCTTTAAGTCCTGGGGATGTGTTTGATCTGGAGACAGCTGGAGCAGGAAGTATCCCAAATGCAAAAAGCATCAAAACAGGCCGCCTGTTTGTGTCCCCTGCTAGAATGGCAGAGGAAATTAGAGAAGGCCGTGAGGCAGACATTGAACTGAATCTGTCTGGGATCTTCTCTGTAGCCATGTGGGAACTGCACACAGCCTTCCTCTTTTTTTTTTTTTTTCCTTTTTGGGTCACACCCAGCTCTGCTCAGGGCTAACTCCCGGCTCTGCACTCAGGGATCACTCCTGGCGGTGCTCGGGGGACCCTATGGGATGCCGGAGATCGAAACCGGGTCGGTCACATGCAAGGCAAACGCCCTCCCTGCTGTGCCATCGCTCCAGCCACAGTCTCTCTCTTTCTGACCAGGTTTTCTCTGTCTCGGTGCTGAAGCATTTTTTTAAAGAGTTCTGACCCTGGGAACAGAGAATGCAGTACCCCCCAGCAAGTGTGCCACAGGCGTTTGGGGGGTGCGTGTGGGGGGGGGTTTAGAAAAGACTCTTAGTGCCAATGAAATCATAGGACGAGGTATCCCTTGATGCTTCGGAAAGAGCTTGGATGTTCCAAGGAGATGGCGTTTTCTTTCTTTTTCTTATCCAGGGGCCATCCATGGTGGTGCGTCCGGACTAGTTCAGCTCTGTGCTCGGGTGTCACTCCTAGCAGTGCTCAGTAGAACCATGGAGCCTGAAACCTGGCTCAGAGCACAGAGCATGGAGCCGTCTCTCTGGCCTGGCAGATTAACTGTGTCCAGCAGACCGTGGCAGCCGGCCTGGCAGCTGAGTGGGTTCTGCATCGGGGACCTCAGTCTTTCTTTTTCTTTCATTTTGTTTTTGTTTTGGGCCACAGCTGGCAACAGGACTCACTCCTGGCCCTGCTCGGGGGACCCTATGAGATGCTGGCGATCGAATCCGGGTCGGCCGCATGCAAGGCCAAGCACCTACCCGCTGTACTGTCGCGCCAGCCCCGACCTCAGTCTTTTTGAGGTCACTCTGGAAACAGTGAGCCGAGCAGCAGACAAACCTAGACGCTCGTTCTCACCAAACACTGGCCTGCCTGTCACATGGACACGTGGGAAGGAGCGGCAGTGACCAATGGACACAACTCTCTCAGGCATGATTGATAGGCCCCAGGTGTGCACTGGTGTTGAAGTCTCCCTTCAGCTCTCTGACACAGAGCCCTAAGGTGCCACCATTGCTGTCGTGAGACTGTTTCAAAGTTGGGGCTGAAACAATAGCCCAGCGGGGAGGGCGTTGGTCTGGCACACGGCCGACCCGGATTCGATCCCCGGCATCCCATAGGGTCCCCCGAGCACCACCAGGAGTGATTCCTGAGTGCAGAGCCGGGAGTCAGCCCTGAGCATCGCCGGGTGGGACCCAAAAAGAAAAAATAATAGTAATAATAATAATAATAGAGTCACAGAACTAGACAGTTCAGCAGGGAGGCGTTGGTCTTGCATGCAGCCAACCCAGGTTCGATCCCCGGCATCCCCTAGGGTCCCCCGAGCACCGCCAGGAATGATTCCTGAGTACAGAGCCGGGAGTCAGCCCTGAGCATCGCCGGGTGGGACCCACAAAAGAAGGAAAAAAGAGAAAATTTAGGGGGTCGGAGCAATAGCACAGTGGGGAGGGCGTTTGCTTTGCACACAGCTAACCCGGGTTCGATTCCCAACATCCCCTAGGGTCCCCTGAGCCCTGCCAGGAGTGATTCCTGAGTGCAGAGCTAGGAGTCAGCCCTGAGCATCGCTGGATGGGACCCAAAAGGCCAAAAACAATTTGGAAAAAAATTCCAGAGGAGGGGCTGGAGCGATAGCACAGTGGGGAGGGCATTTGCCTTGCACGCGGCCGACCCGGGTTCGATTCCCAGCACCCCATAGGGTCCCCCGAGCACTGCCAGGAGTGATTCCTGAGTGCAGAGCCAGGAGTCAGCCCTGAGCATCTCCAGGTGGGACCCAAAAAGAAAAAAAAAATGTTTCAAAGCTAAGAATTTTCTCTCGAGGCCCTTTCTCTGGAGTCGCTAACAAAAGAGTGCAGACAGTCCTCTGAAGCGTGCCTCCGGCCGGGAAGGAGACCTGGAGGGGTGGGTTATTTATGGCTCTGGTGTCAGATGTTAATATGCTAGTTTATCTTTTTCCAATTTCCGGAGGATCGGGGCACTGAATTAAAAAGCGCCCTGTCATTTTTCATCGGCCTTTGTAAGACAGCACCTCCGAAGGTTACGTTTCACTGAATTATTAAGTACTGGGCTTTATTAAGGAGGCCATAAGGATTTTTTTTTCTTTTCTTTAGGCCATGCTCAACAAAAGCTAAGAACATTTTGAAGGCCCCGATAGTAGACTGAGCAAGTTATATCTTCGTCGGCAAGCAAACAAATCTTTTCTAACATGGCCGGGGTGGATGATTTCATTTTTTCACATTTCTCTGATTTTTCTCTTAGATTTTTTATTAAGAATCACACGGCCATGAGATCGGAATAGATTGTGAGAATTTGAAACAAGAACACCAAAAAAACCCAACCACGTTCAGATCTCCGAATTCTGATACCTGAGACTTGAGTCTTTCTCTATAAGAACCCCTCACCCCACATTGCAGAAAAATCCAGAACTCCATCGGCAGTCGGGGAATAAGTGGGTATCTGGGAGTCAGTAGAATATTACATCACCAGCTACAAGTAGTAATTGTGAACATCATGTAGAAACACGGAGGAAATGTTTTTTGTTTGTTTGTTTGTTTGTTTGTTTTGCTCTTTGGGTCACACCCGATGATGCTCAGGGCTGACTCCTGGCTCTGCACTCAGGAATCACTCCTGGCGGTGCTCGGGGGACCCTCTGGGATGCTGGGAATCGAACCCAGGTCGGCCGTGTGCAAGGCAAACTATCACAATCTATCACCCGCCGAGATATCACTCCAGCCCCCGAAATGTTCTTTATAGTCTAGAAGAAGAAGAAGAAGAAGAAGAAGAAAATCCCCTTTAGTTCCAGATTGTTCCATTAAGAGATGCCAGATTGGATGTCCACCTGGGATCCTTAGCCAATTTTTTTTTTTTTTTTTTGCTTTTTTGGTCACACCTGGCAATGCTCAGGGGTTACTCCCGGCTCTGCACTCAGGAATCACTCCTGGCAGTGCTCGGGGGACCCTATGGGATGCTGAGAATCGAACCCAGGTTGGCTGCATGCAAGGCCAACGCCCTCCCTGCTGTGCTATCGCTCCAGCCCCAGCCAATTCTGATGCACGAGACACTCTCTGTGTTCCGTTTGAGGGGCTTCCCTCAGGCAGTTAAAGGCAGTCGGCGGCCCGGATTGGGAGACGTTTCCAGATGCAGGGATGAGAATATGGGGGTGTCAGCCCCCACCCCCGCCAGGAGAGAGAGAGACACTAGGCTGGACTACCTCTCCCTGGAGCCCACTGCGCCATCCCTGCATCCTGACCCTCCCCCCCTTCCAGGATTCGGGAGATCTTGAAGGCATCTCGGCGGTTTCAGGGGGACCCCGAGTCACCCGCGTCCTTCACCCTGGCCATCGTGGAATCCGACTCGACCATCGTCTACTACAGACTCACCGATGGCTTCATGCTGCCTGACCCTCAGGTCAGTGACGGAGGGGTGAGGGGTGAGGGGTGGGGACAGGCGCTCTGGCTCGGGGCTGGCTGTGGCCGGAGGCCCCCAGCCCCCCCAGTTGGTTTGAAAGGCGACACAAGGATGTGGCCTCGCGCCTGGGCCAGTCACGGCTTTGCGGGGCCGACAGGCCAGGGGAGAAAGGCCTCCCCTGCTTGGCGCAGTCACATTCATAATTCTCATAAAAATCATGATCGCAGGCTGGAGCCATAGCCCAGCAGGGAGGGCATTTGCCTGGCATGTGGCCGACCCAGGTTCGATCCCCAGCATCGCATAGGGTCCCCCGAGCACCGCCAGAAGTGATCCCTGAGTGCAGAGCCGGGAGTCAGCCCTGAGCATCGCCGGGTGGGACCCAGAAAGCAAAAAAAAAAAAAAAAAAGAAAAGAAAAGAAAAAAATCACAATCGCCTTTGCCCTTGGAGGAGGAGTTTCACCCCAGGAAGGCGTCACGCACCCGTTCTCCCTGATGAGTCACAGAGGCAGGATGTAGAGTTTTAACCCAAAGAACTCTTCTCTGTCACGATCGGGGACGTTTCGGCAGGCGCTCGTTAAGATTGATGACTGTCTGTGGTCTCCTTGTGTGCTCTGTTGACGTTAAAGCTGTTGACCAGCTTTCTGAGTTGGCTCTGGTGTTTGTGAGGGGGCCGGGGGCAGCTCACGCCTGATGCTGGCTTTTTCTTTGTGTTGCAGAACATAACCCTTAGGAGGTGACGCCAACTGACATCTGACTCACCCAGTCTTCACGGTACGGGAGCAAGCAGCCATCACTGGGGAACTGTTCGGACCCAGATGGTCACTGGACCTCGCTCTCCTACCCCACTTGTTTTGGGTTTTTTTTTTTTTCTTTGCTTTTTGGGCCACACCCGGCGATGCTCAGGGCTGACTCCTGGCTCTGCACTCAGGAATCACTCCTGGCCATGCTTGGGGGACCCTATGGGATGATGCTGGGACTCGAACCCGGGTCGGCCGCATGCCAGGCCAACCCCCTCCCCACTGTGCAAGTCCCCAGTTATCCTTTTTAAAGAGTAAAACTCCCAGATAGAAAACTCTTTCCCGTCTGCCGGAAAGGATTGGGTAGTTTCTTTAGAAGGTTCTTCCTGGGAGACATTTAATTGTCACTGTGTGTAAGATTGTCTCGGGGGCAGAGGGGGGAGCAGAGATTGAATTGGGGGTGCTTCTTTTGCTCCTACTTACCTCTGCCCCCCACCGTGGCTGGCTCCTGGCGAGTCTGCCCGGGTCACATCCTCAACCCTTCATGCCTTTACTGGGTCAGTATTTCCCCAATGTCATGACACACCGGTGGTCACTTTTGGTCCCCAGTCTAAAAATGCAGTTCCCTCCCGTTGATTCTCCTTTTACAAGTGCTCAAACTCGCCCAAAGGAAACGCGTGTCTCCAGAGTACAAACTTGTACGGACTTTCTGGAGGCCAGAGTCAAGTCCACTTTCCACTCGGATTGCCACCGTATTAATAAAATGACCCACACCAGGTTGGTCTAGTGGCGTTCTGGTGATGGTCAAAAATAAGCCACGTCAGCATTCAAGGAGGCCATCAGCAAACCTCTAGGAAGGGCCAGGAAGTGACAGTGTGTGGTTCAAAGGCCAGACACTCTCTAACCCAGTTCCTCCACACAGCCGGTGTTGTGTAGTCCAGAAATCAATGTAGACCATACACAGACAGACGGGCAAGGCTGCGTTCCAATAAAGCTGTATCTGCAAACGCAGGACCCCTTTGCCAACTCCGCTGGTCTGGGGAAAGAGCCAATAAACAGAGCGAGATGGCAAACAAATGCTTCCCGTGAACTCATAAAAAAAAATATCAGTGATGAGCATTATGAAAAACAAACTATGAAGCAAACACAATCGAAATCCAAAAGCATCCCCCTGGGTGTAACTGTGACCTGAAGTAGGTCACACAGAGTTGACAGAGCTCGAATTGGCCACGTGGGGATGGAATAGACCAAGGAACTCTTGCCTGCCTTCGGGATCCTGGTTTATCTTTATTACTTTTGGAATAAAACTTTTCAACTTAAAAAGGTGTCTGGATATCTGTGTTTTGGTTGGATCACGTGTGGGGCACTTAGGGCCTGACACAGTTTGAGTCTCCAAGGCCCAGTCTTAGGGCATGGAGGGTCCAGGCCGGGTGTCCCGGGGGACCTCCCCCGATAGGGGTCTCCCAGCCCACCTCTGTCGGGGTCAATGCCAGTGACTGAAAAAGACAGATAGGGCCACAAAGGTGTTCCGACGTTGACGAAACGGGGTGAGCGTCATCCGGAGGCCCTAAAGAACGGTCTGGGAACGGTCTCCAACGGTCTCGGAATGGTCTCAAACAGTCTCAAATGGTCTCGGAATGTCTCGAACGGTCTCAGAACGGTCTCAAACGGTTTCAGAACGGTCTCAAAACGGTCTCCAACGGTCTGGCATTCCTGGTTCCCCCGGAAGCTGCCAGTGACCCAGTGTGGGAGATGGAGTTGTGCGGGGGGGGGGGGGGTCCCCTGTCTCCATGACTGGTCCCCTCATGGGCTCCTGAGGCCGCGCCTGTTCGTGAGCGCCCAGACGGTCCCACTTCCGGTAGCACTTCCGGCCCCTTGCCAGCACTTCCGGAAGCTCGAGGCCCCGCCCCGCCCCCACCCCACTCCGTCGGGGTTGACGCCTCAGCTTGGAGGGGCTGTTAGGGCCCACCGTGGACTCCCATGGGCAGAAGTGGAGGCGCATCGTCCCACACCCTGCCCTAGGTGTTGGCTCTTCATTCCAGAATGTTCCATGTGGACACGACCAATGTTGGGTTGCCCCAAGCCCTCCTGTTCCTGATGTTGGCTCTGTTCCAGAATGTTCTGTGTCCACATGACCAACATTGGTTGTCCCAACGCCCTCCTGTCCTGGATGTTGGCTCTTCTAGAATGTTCCGTGTGTACACCACCATGACATTGGCCATCCCAACACCCTCCTGTCTCAGCTGTGTGCTCTATTCCAGAATGTTCTGTGTCCACATGACCAACATTGATCGTCCCAACGCCATCCTGTCCCAGAAGTTAGCTCTTCTAGAATGTTCTGTATGTACACCACCAATATTGATTGTCCCAATGCTCTGCTGTCCCGAATGTTGGCTCTTATTCTAGAATATTTCTTGTGTACACCACCATGACATTGGTCGTCCCAACGCCCTCCTGTCTCAGCTGTGTGCTCTATTCCAGAATGTTCTGTATCCACATGACCAATACTGGCCGTCCCAACACCATCCTGTCCCAAAAGTTAACTCTTCTTCTAGAATGTTCTGTATGTACACCACCAACATTGGTTGTCCCAATGCTCTGCTGTCCCAGATGTTGGCTCTTATTCTAGAATGTTCTGTGTGTACGTGACCAACATTGGTTGTCCCAACTCCCTCCTGTCTTGGATATTTGCTCTATTCCAGAATGTTCTGTGTGCACGTGAACAACATTGATTGTCCCAAGGCCCTCCTGTCCCAGATGCTGGCTCTTATTCTAGAATGTTCTGTGTATACGACCAACATTGGTTGTCCCAAATGCCCTCCTGTCCCGGATGTTGGCTCTTATTCTAGAATTTTCCGTGTGTACACCAAGATTGGTTGTCCCAACGCCCTCCAGTCCTGGATGTTGGCTCTTATTCTAGAATGTTCTGTATGTGGGCGACCAACACTGTCCCCACGGCCTGCAGCTGCCTGCCCAAGGGAGCCTCATCCAAGAAGCCCTGCGGAAGGGAGGGCGTCCAGCTGAGTCTGTCTTGCTTTAGAGGAAAACGAGGTCGTGGGAATTCGGGGATTGCGAAAGCTCGGGGTTTCTTTCTGTCCTGCATGTCAGCCGGAGAGAGCCCAGGACCGGGAACCTCAAATAGCCTCGTCCCTTTTGTTGGGGGAGTGCTCCCCGGCGGTGCTCAGATGGTTCGGGGACACGCGCAGCAATTCTCGGCCCCCGGGCGTGTGGCTCTGGGCTAGGCCCTGAAGCTGAGCTACTGCGCATCCCTGAGGGTCTGGGAGCCACCTGGCATGCACCTTGCAGAACTCAGAGACCTCCAGGGCCATACCCGGGGGTGCCGGGGGCCTTCGGGGGAGGGGTGCTCCCCCAAAGTCTTCAGGGCTGCACCCAGCACAGCCAGGGATTGAGCCTGGGATGGGTCCACACCCCTGAACTGTCTTTTTTTTTTTCTTTTTGGGTCCCACCCGGCGATGCTCAGGGCTGACTCCTGGCTCTGCACTCAGGAATTACCCCTGGCGGTGCTCGGGGGACCCTAGGGGATGCTGGGAATCGAACCCGGGTTGGCCACGTGCCAGGCCAACGCCCTTCCTGCTGTGCTATCGCTCCGGGGACCCCTTCCCTCTTTATTGTTGTTGTTGTTGTTATTATTATTATTATTTGGCTTTTTGAGTCCCACCGGCAATGCTCAGGGCTGACTCCCGTCTCTGCACTCAGGGATCACTCCTGGCGGAGCTCGGGGGACCCTAGGGGATGCGAGGAATTGAACCCAGGTCAGCCGCGTGCCAGGCAAACGCCCTCCCCTCTGTGCTATTGCTCCAGCCCCTGAACTGTCTTTCTGGCCTCTCCCCTACCCTAATTCATCCCAGCGTCCCCCCACGGCACGGGGGACCAACAGATACTGAGTCCCCATGTCAGGACAGCCCAGCTGACGTTCTGCATCTGGGGTGGGATGGTCTTCACGGGCGCCAGGGGGCACTCTGAGCTAAGCACCCGACCCTGCGACTCTGTTTGACTCACTGGTGGAAAATTTATTTTCACTCTGTGGGAAATGGCATTAATAAAAATGTAAATAAGCTTCGTGCACGCACACACACACACACACACACACACACACACACACACCCTTTGGCTTTCTGCCTCTAAAATGACACACTCCTGACATGCAGCTACGTGGCTCGGGGCACGCTTCACGCACTGCGTGAGATGATCTATCTAGAAAAAGAACAAATTCACGGTGGAGGCTAGGGTGGGGAGGTCTGGCCTGACTCTGGTCTTTTTTTTGCCCATGAGCCATTTCATTTTCTTTGGCAAGGGCCTCAGTTATTAAATTTTAGGAGCCCATCATGTCGTGAGGCCCCGCTGGAATGGGACACCGCAAAGATCCCGGAGGTCAAAGGCATGAATTGTTCCCCTGGTCCCTATAAACTTTGCCATATAAGGGAAGGAACCTGGGTGGCCACAAGCAGGCTGGCAGTCTGGATAATTTCTTTCTGGGGCTGTCTTTGTTTGCAGTCCTGGGGTGCCGTTCTCTCTGCCAGCTCGGTAGCCCAGTTCCCAGGAAGACTGGAAGGTTCAGCCTCTCGACTCTAGACTAAATTATTTTGCGTCTCTGAAGGCCCTCTTTATCATCACCTCCTTATTAATTACCCCAGGGTTGTTTTTTGTTGTTTTTTTTTAGGGAATGGAGGAAGGTACACCTGGCAATGCTCAGGGCTGACTCCCGGCTCTGCACTCAGGAATCACTCCTGGTGGGGCTCGGGGGACCCTGTGGGATGCCGGGGATGAACCTGGGTCCGCCGCGTGCCAGGCCAACGCCCTCCCCACTGTGCTATTGCCCAGGTCCCTGGTTCATCAGTCTTTACTGATTGATTAACTGATTGATTGATTGCTTTTTGGGTCCCACCCGGCGATGCCCAGGGGTGACTCCTGGCTCTGCACTCAGGAATCACTCCTGGCGGTGCTCAGGGGACCCTATGAGATGCTGGGAATCGAACCCAGATCGGCCGCGTGCAAGGTCAGTGCCCACTGTCCTATTTCTCTGGCCCCGCATCCCAGATCTTGGGTGAAACTCAGGACCGGAGGAAGTTT